TCCCCAGCGGCGAAGGTGAAGGCTTGGAGTGCCGTCTGGGAGAAGGAAGCGAAGCCTTTTTCTCCTTCCCGATCCTCCTCCGAAGCCGAGGGTGGGGTGTTTTGTTTTCTCTTGTTTGTTTTGGGCCGGGCTGGCGGGGCGGAGGGGGGGGTTCCATTATTAGGCCGGTGCTTGTGCGGGTTTTTCCTTCGAGCGAGAGCTGTTGGCACGCGCCGCCTGGACCTTCCGAGCCCGGCGCCAAAGGCCACTTCGGCGGTTCTCTCCTGGAACTTCCAGCTGTTTCCCGGGAAAAGACAGGCGAAGCAGGTGCCTGAAATGGGAAGGGAAAACGGCTCCTCTGATCTTCGGTGTCCTTTTCAGTGCGCCCCCCGCTTTAACTTCTGCTGGGAAGGAAAACTAAGCCAGCTTCTGGGGGCATCTGGGAAGAGATCCGGTCGGGCCGAGGCCACGAGCAGTTATTGCGGCTCGCGCTTTGGGCGACTTTTCGCTGGGTTATGCTTCCTAAGCGGCCGGGTTAACCATTGAATAGCCTGCCTGAATTTCTCGCAGTCCAGCCTGGGAAACTGAGTAGAGGTGGATCTTGTCTTCGGCTGCCTTTGCGATCGGAATTGAGAATCGATCCTAGGCTTGTAAGGAAGAGGATGAGGAATTCAGAAATGTATCGGCTTTTGGGATTAGGGCCCTGCTATCCAGCGTCGTGTTGGTGTAGTGAGTCTCTCTGTGTGTGTCAAGAGTTGCCCTGGTCTTCTTGTAAAAGAAGACTAGAATTCTCCTGATCCCCACAATGCATTTTACAGTTGTATTCTTGCATGTACAGTATAGAGATGTACTCATAACTTCACCTTCTGTTTTTAATTTCTCTCTGACCTCATTGTTTATAATCCCCCCTCCCCTCTCTATGTATATATATTCCCTAACTCAGAAAAACCACTCTGGGCACCTGATGAAGTGGACTGCAGCCCAGGAAAGCTTCTGCCATAAGCAGCTGGTTAGTCTTTGAGGGTGCTACAGGTTTCCCTCACAGTTCTAGACACAGCTGCTCTGTGTAAGCACGTGCCTTTGCGGAGAGCAGGGTTCCCCTAGCTGAGCATTCTTACAAGGTAGCCTAGACTGTGGCTTACTTTCTGCCATCCTCTTTCTAGAGTGCAGAGGACAAGATTTTTGAACAAATAAAAGCCGGGTCCGTGGCACAGATAGGAGGTGGAATGTGAGCAGGCGTGACTTCTTTGCTCAAAGTACTGAGGCCTTGGCTCCCTTTGCATCTGGTTACTCTGGGGGATTGTTTTCTGCAGAGGGGAAAAGCGACTTGGAGAGCTGGTCAGGGTTCTGCAAAATTCAGTTACAGGAAGACCAGTGAGAAGATAACTTATAATAGGAATTGCAGGAATAGGACTGCAGGAATTCTATCTGGCTGGATTCCCACAATCCTGGCTTTAAGCCAGTGGTTCTCAAACATTTTGATCTCAGAACCCCTTTACATTCTGAAAATGACTGAGAACCCCAAAGAGCTTTGGTTTATGTGGGCTTTATCTATTGATATTTACTGTATTAGAAATTAAAACTGAGAATTTTTAAAAATTATTTGACTCTGTGGATCTCTTGAACACTTTAAAAACTGGTGCTCTAAGCCATAATATGTTTTGATTTAGGCTTACTGTGATGCATGAACTCAACCACTGTGGTTGTAAAAAGTTTGTGGCTTAGGATTATAGGTAAACTAGGCCAGTGATGCTTGTTGAAACTTACCAAAATAGAGCATAGTGTATGAACCCAGCCTCTTGGTCCCCTGTAACTGTGGTTAGAATTAAGATGAGTTGCCAGGATTTGAAATCATCATGTGCGCTTTCTTGTGCTGATGGGTAGGGTCTTCATATGACTTGACCAGGCTTGAAACTTGTACTGCAAATCAAAAGGAGGAGGAAAAGGAAAGGAAAGGTTTGCTCATATCATGCAACCATAAAAGAACTGGCAGCCTTACACTGTGTTTTGCAAGGGTGGAACTTTTGCTTGGACATTGCTTCCTGGGGGGGTCCGAAGATTGCCCTATTTGAAATCTAGGATGGCCAAGTTCCTTTTCTAGCTAGATTCCTGTGCCTTTAATTGCCAAGCAGAGATCTAATGGAGTGAAGCCTGCCCAGCAAACATAAAAAAATGTTTCCTGCTAAATCCTGCTCCTTTTGAAAATATGAAAAGTGCAGGAACCATGATAAGCAAAAACAGAACAAAATAAATCTCGTTTTCTCTCTTCCATGCCTTGAATTGGCAAGATTAATGTGAATATGCCTCTGAAATAATAAGGTTCAGATTCTCAGAACTTGGTTGCTATTGGAGAAGGTAGATCACTTTGAAACAAAGGAGAAATGATTAGGGATATCCCAAGGTTCTGTCTAACGCACAGAGATGGCTGAAACTCTGGGTATTAAAGGTGCACACTTGGTGTAAGCAATCCCAGTATAGTTACTCTATGATTAGTCCATGCAGTGCTTGTCTTAGAAAAAGAAGTTCAAAGGTAGAAACAGAGATTTACCCACTTGGACTTCTGGAAAGGCTCAAAGCCTTGCAGGGCAGAAAATATCAGTGGCGGCCCTCTTGACTCACTGGCAGAGTACACACAGTATGCTGAATCGTAGGCTAAAGTCCATGGCTGGGTTCATACAAGACATGAAGATAAAATTTGGCTGGCTGGTTTGGGGTTCATCATCTCTTCCTGAAGCTCAGCTCCACACCGTGATTTCCAGCAGCATGAAATCAACTTGTCTTTCTTGCACTGAGTTGGTATCACCTCCTTTTGACCAGTGACTCATAAAAACTTACCAAAGGTCATGGGAATGAGTCTGCCTCCCAGCTGACTTTCTGCTCTAGGCTTCTAGCTTTAGAATGTGGTATTAGAAGGAAGAAGAGAGAGAACAGCTCTGAGTCAAGGGGTGTTCACTACTGCAGACTTTCTGTGTGGAAACACCACAGAAATTAGTTCCTGCATCTACTCCAGGGAAGCACTGGAAAGTAAGGCAGTGCTTTTCAACCTTTTATACCTTAAATCCAACCAATCACTCAGAGAACCTAGATCCCATTGTAGTAGAAACAAAACACCCACTTTATTTCATTGGTGGCAACTGCCAAGGAACCAAGCTAAAAGTGTGTTTAATTGTTGTACGCTGCCCTGAGTTGCTTTGCGTGAGATGGGCAGCTATATAAATGTGATAAATAAATTTACCATCTTTTGAGATCCAGTCATGTAAAGGAGCTCTTCCATGCTAGCCAGACGTCATCATGAGCTAAGCACAAAGGTGAGTCCTTCTTAAGTAAATCATTGGGAGTTTTATGAAAATAAGGATGTAAGTATTTCAAAAGAGCTAGCTGTGATAGTCTGTTAAAGTGCAAGCAACAAAATATCTTGTTGACACCCAAAGCCTAAAACATTTGTTAAGCTTTTTTGATGCAGGAAATATTATTTGGAGGTTTTAGGAATAACTATGTATGCACATCCGTATTGGCTGGGGACAATACTGATATATAAAGTGAGAAGTAGTGTAAAGTAGGATTATAGATGCAAATAGTTGTCCTATTAATAACAGCCAATTCAAAAATTATTCTTGGATGAACTGATTATGATTTTTAGGCTCAATTCACACATTACAGTGAGGCATAGTGTAATTTGTTTGGTTTGGGCCTAGTATGTTCTATGAACCCAAGTGATTATGATTTATTCAATAAACCAGAGTTAAACCAGGTAGTAGTATGATCTGCAAGCTACAATGTAATTTGATTGTTAAAAGCGTGTTTTGGCTCAGGCTTCCAGGGATATACAGTGGTACCTTGGTTCACGAACTTAATTCGTTCCGCGACTCTGGTCGCGAACCGAATTGGTCGCGAACCGAATCAAATTTTCCCATAAGGTTCAATGTAATCAACAGGTTAATCTGTTCTGACCCCTCCGAATTTGGTTGCCAACCGATTTTGGTCGCGTCCTGAATCAAATTTCCCCATAAGGTTCAATGTAATTACGGTTAAT